CCAGTGCCGCCTCCTGCCCAGCCTGGGCTGGAACCCCCAAACTCCCCGGCCTCCACATTCGAATAATGGTGGAGCTGGGGGGAGCTGTGTGCGCACGTGGCAGCCAGAAACCTCTAACCCGGGCCTGCTGAGCCCCACCCCCCCCGCCTCTCGTCCCCCCCCCTCTCCTCCCCCCCCCCCCCCCCCACACACACACCCCGACCCAGGATTATGGGCCCCTTCCCAAGTGTGGGCCTGGTGTCATGGAGCCAGTGGCGCCATTATAAACCCAGTACTTCTCTTACTACACCACTTCCTTCACCTGCCGGTCAGTTCTGCAGACAAAAAACTGGACTCATGGCTTAGTTTTCTAGGGGCTAAATCCTGGTGAAATTGAAGGCAGTGGGAAGTTTTGCCTTTGACTTCAAAGGGATAAGATTTTGGCCTCAGCACTCTGTTATGAATCCTACCGCGATATAAGGCAGCAAAAGGCTGGTGCCTGTTCTGAAGTAATTTGGTTCTGATTTCTTTGTATTGAGCAATCTAAAGCTAATGCAAAGGTAACCCACCAAATTGGAGGCGAGACCCGCTTCATTATTTGTAACTGCGAGCTGCATGTATGCATTGCTCTCTTGTCTCTCTTTCTAGCAGTGAGCAGAGTATATCACATCTTTTGGGGAATGCAGCAATTATCGCCTATCTGAGAATTAGGTCATGACCTTGCCCCAAAAACTTAAGGTCCCATTTGTTCACTTGCCTTGGGTGTACACTGAGAGATGCCCTTACAGGTGAATTCCACTCCAAATAATAAACTAACTAGACTCTGCATAGTGATGGCTCTAAACTCAACAGAATTGTTGGCAAACTTAGCTCAGATATGGGGGGTTTGGTTTAAAAGATTTAACCCAGCTGTATCTGGGCTATCCTTCAGAGCAGCAGGGAATTATGGCCCATCCAGCAGCTCTCATTAATGCTAATGGGAGTTAGTCACTTCTTGATGGAAGTATTAGACCCTCGAGACATTTTATAAGTTTGGAATTCTGCCACTGTTGCATTTAGATTCTTAGCCACAGAAACATTCCTGCAGAAGCTTTCTCGCCGTTAGGGGAATATTTTTCCCACAAAAGTCTCTCCTCTCTTTCCCCTCCCCTTTGGAATTTACTGTGGGTCCTGATAGTGGTTTTAAGGCACAAACACTAAATCCAGTAGCCTAACAAAGTCCCTGGGTACAAGTACGATCGGGTTTGTGTAAGTGCTCCTCATAAACCAGTAGATTTTATGCTGACTTCACAGAATAAAGTGTGATTGTCAGCTCAGATATAGCATAACTTCCTTCATAATGAAGCACCTTTTTGTTTCAGTGCATTACCGCATATGAATTGTAATTCTGGCACGTCCACTTATTTTGAAGGGGGTCTGTGGAAAGTCTGGCTTTACTAAAAGAGTTTGTCAATGTATTTCAGTACAGTTCAACCGCAAATTACTGAGCTCCATGCTGGAAATACTGGGTGATTCTTTACCCTGAGTAATGCAGGAGGTCAGACCAGATGGTGAATAGATTTTAAACACAAAAAATTTTACCACTATCATCAACTTGGTATAGTACTCCTGAAGTCAATCCTCAGTGAAGTCAGTGGAATTATGCTGATTTATATCAGCTGAGTATCTGACTTAACAATCGGTGGAAAATATCGGTCAAAATATAACATCTTAGGCATGGGGATGTTATTTTAGTGGGACTGGGAAGACAAGCTAACACTTCTTTCACGTATTCCATGTTAATAATAATTACCTAGCTGCCATATAACTAGACTTGGAAGAATTAGATTTTTAGTGGTAGATGTCAATTTCAACGTACGCACACCAGCTGATAAAAAATATCTATCAATGATTGATAAAACTTTACAGATGAGCAAGCAGCATTTTTCTTACTTTGCCTGAGAACTTGTTAGTGTTTGATTTAAGGATATTAACTTTGTATGTTTTGACGTGTGTGATGTTGACAATTTGTTGTACTGGTTATAATGCTTTAGCTTTCTGAATCTCTACATCTACTGTCATTAAATCATTATTCTGATCCCTCCTTCGTTCTCCAACTGTGAACATTTAAATAGATTATTTTGGTTCATCAAAATTATTTTTTTAAAAATAAAAAGAATTCTGCCAAGTCTATATATAATGCTTTTCTTCAGTGGTTCTCAAAGCTCTATACACAGAGGAGGGATAGGGAGACGAAAGCACAGAGAGGTGAAGTGCCTTGATCTTAAAGCCTTTTAAAAAACATGGATTAAGGCTACTAACTCTCCTCTGAAATGGGTAATAACAAATGGATACAACTGAGGCACAGAGAAGCTAAGGAACTTGTCTAAGGTGCCTTAAGTGAATGGCAGACCTGGGAACAGAACCAGAGTCCTTGCTCTCAATCCTCTCTAATGACTGTAAAACGCTCCCTGTTCTTTTCAATATCAAAGCTGAATAGTGACCGCCTCCACTTTAACTAAGGGCTGGTCTACACTGTGGGGAATCGATCTAAGATACGCAACTTCAGCTATGCAAATAGCATAGCTGAAGTCGAAGTATCTAAGATTGAATTACCTGGGGTCCACACGGCGCGGGATCGACGGCCGCGGCTCCCCCATCGACTGCGCTACCGCCGCTCGCTCTGGTGGAGTGCCGGAGTCAACGGTGAGTGCGTTCGGAGATAGATATATCGCGTCTTAACGAGACTCGATATATCGATCCCTGATAAATCTATTGCTACCTGCCGATACGGCGGGTAGTGAAGACATACCCTAACTCTGTTCATGGTTTTAGGTATAAATCCTGTGAAGTAAGCATTTAGAGGGAGTTTTCTAACAAAAGCCAAACGGATGGTGAGGTGTATTTCTGTTCGCTGCCCCAGATCAGGAAAATTTGTCTGGCTTCTTATATAATATTTTTGGCAGAGTCTGTGGTATTTTCTTCTTGTTCCGAACCTGCATGTGCTAAGAGAACCAATGGCACCGCAGAGCTTTCTCATGCTCTATCTTTCATTTCCAGCTTTTTCCATCAGCAGTTGTAATGTTGAAGTTACGATGAACTGAGGTATGAAGGCGCCAGGACCAGAGCACATGGGGAACCTTGAGCTAGGAAGGCTGGTAGCTATTCCTCTGGGTGCTCAAGACCCACTCAGCCTGACACATTAGCCGAGTATGCTCAGTGCTACGTTGTCTAAATAGACTTGGCAGAATTCCATTTTTATTTTTAATTTTGACAAATATCTGTTTTTAAGTATTTATTTTTATCTATTTACATTTTCAAAGCTGTGGGTAATTATATCCGATTGAGAGAATGAGACGGGTCAGACAATAATTATTTAATGACTAGCCATCGAGATATAAAAAGTTAAAGCTTTAACAATAAAACACAAATTGTCAATGTCACATGTCAAAACATACCAAATCCTAAAATTAAACTCTAATAAAAAGTTCTCAAACATAATTTTTCTTTCTTTCCCTGTCTCTAAATTTAGATTATTGTTGATGGAAATATTTTTTGTTTGTTTGTGTATGTTGGGTGAATTCAACATTTACTGATGAAAACTAATCCTTCCAAATCTATTTAAAAATAGGCTTCTATGTTCTAAATGTTGATAGGGAAACAAATAGTAGTGGGCTTGAGCCACAACATCTGCATCCAAATTTGATTATTACCAAGGATTTGAGGGTGTCTGCAGCCAAGAGTTGATCATAAGAACGGCCATACTGGGCCAGACCAAAGGTCCATCAAACCCTGTATCCTGTCCTCTGACAGTGGCCAGTGGCAGGTGCCCCAAAGGAAATGAACAGAGAGGTTATCATCAAGTGATCCATGTCCTGTCACCCATCCCAGCTTCTGGCAAACAGAGGCTAGGGACAACAATTGTGCAAATGGCAGAGGTAGGGGTCAGTTACCAAGTTGGGACCTAGAAGTAAACTTCCCCAAACACTTGTGTGGGTGGGTGGTTCAGGTGAAGTAATTGCAAAGACCCCTGTTAACGCCAATGGGCTTTGGATCAGGCCTTTGTTTTGCTTTGGGCCCAAATCTAAATGTGCCGAAAGAAATTTGAAAGTCTAGAGACTGCTTTAAAAAAACATGGTGTTTGTTAATTTAAGCCTTATAAGCACTTGTTGACTTAATAAATGTACAAGCAGTTGATAAACGGGTTGTGTTTGCAAATATTGGTGCTGATGAACTCACGCCAAGAGGCAAGGCTGGATGCAGGTATATATGTGTGTGATGAGAGTGAGTCATGTAACATTGTAATGAGTAATGACACTTGATGTATCTGACCCCTCAATTCCAGTAGCTTTAGAATTTTATTCTACACTTAAAGTTCTTTGGTTGAGAGAGAACCCATTAGGTCCCACTTAAAGCTGCTTTGTGCTTCTGTGGAGATTCAAAGCAGCCTTGCCAAAATCCGTTCAGTCAGCCAGCTGGAGATTTGCAACGTATAAAAACTTTCTTGGCACAGAGTGAGTGCAGTTCCTCCTGTGCTGGGCCCCACACAGCCCCTGATGTGGCCAGGGCTGGGGAATTTAGCTGATGCACTTGGCGATCCCTGCCTGGCAGAACAGCCCTTTAGGGCAGGCCGTTGTAGCTGGTATAATTTAGAGCAACCCAGAGGCTTCCCTGAGTTGTTCCTGGACCAGTGGTTGGTGGCTTGAGGATCATGAACCCACAAAGGTGGTTTACTGCTTCCTTTGTGGTGCCTTCTCTGAACTGCGCTGGATACAGAGAGAGCCTGTGGATCTGTCCCAGTCTATTTCAGTGAAGTAGAGCTGCACAAATGCAATGGGCTTGTTTTTAACATGAAAATAAGTCATTTCCCAGCCTGTACCACAACCAATAATTCTGTATTTTCTCTCTCCTCTCCCCCTCTGCCCCACCTTCACCCTCTTGTGCAGAAGGACGTAGCACTGAAGCCTCAGGAACGTGTGGAAAAGCATCAGAATCCTTTGGCCAAGAAGAAACGGGAAGCACTTACCAATGGGCTGTCGTACCATCCAAAAAAGCACAGACTTAACCATCACCAGTACAGCTCAGACCGGGAAAATGACCGCAATCTTTGCCAACACCTTGGGAAAAGGAAGAAATTACTGAAGGGACTCAGACAGGTGGGAGACAAGTTATTTGTTTGGGGGCGGGGGAAGGGTTGGATATCTTCTCTTCATATATAGTCCGTGGAATCTGCTTATTAGATCCCGGTGGTTCTTATGTTTCTTTTATCCACTTTCCGGTTGTCTTATGGTTGGGCCACCTGGTGTTTCCTTTTCATTTACAGCTAGCTTATCTGGTAGGAGGAGAGGGACGCTGAGTGGGACTGTTAGATGGAATGGGGGGAAGGGAGACCTGTGTAGTGACTCTAGGTGGTAGGTGATGAGCAAGAATGCCAGAGGCTGCAAGTTCTTCTCTTAAGCTACAGAGCCTCACTTGGGCAGGCTGTAAGACTGGCAAGGCCGGGGAGTGCAGCATCTCGGGGTTCTAAAGGCAGCAGAGAAGCCAGCAGGAATCAGGATGAATCTGTGGCACGAATATGCTTCTGTTGACTTGAGATTTTGTACACAGAAGCATGCGACTCCCTCTGAATAACAAGGGCAAGGTGAGGTAATTGTGAGAGGGGGAGCTGCTAATCAAGACAAATGGAACTGGAAGACTGATTACTGTACAAGGAGCTCATTTGTAGAGTGTCTGTGGTACTAGTGTGTACTCTTTTGGGTTACTAATCACCATTCCCCTGAGCAAGAACTTCACACCTACCTTACATTGCTCTTCTTACGGCAGTCGCTGTGGCTCACAGGTGAGGAAATGAAGGAGTGCATAGCATCCAGGATTACAGCACTGGAGCCTGGCAACTTGGGCTCATAATTCAACAATCTGTAGAGAAGTCTGTTCCTCACGTAAAAAAGAAAAAAATCTTAGTGGCAGGTGTGATATTTCCCGGGGGGGAGGGGGGGGTGGAAAAAAAAATAGCCTTGCTTCCAAATCTTTCTTTGATTGAGAAATATATATGTAATATCTCCTTTTGTATTTATATCAGTTCTGTATGGAAGACTAATCCTTTGGAGACTTTCGTATATTGTGTATAAAAATATCATACGTGCTAAGTTGTCTGTCAAGCTGGAGAATAGCAGAGTTAAGAGACCATACAAGTTCAAATTTGTCCGAAACTTACATGTGATTAAAAACAAGCTTTTACCTAAGATTAATACAATTCTTTCCATGTCTGTTTTTAATTCCAATGAAAACAGAGAACGACTAAGCCCTTCTCTGCAGTGTTTGCAACCTAAATGTTGCAGAACTGAGAACCGAGAACCTGAAAGTGGAAATGACTATAGGCAAAGGTGATTTTCATTGAGCTGAGGGAAGCTCAAAGAGTAAATAACGTGTCAGTAATAAGTAAATTGACTATTTATTCATTTTTAATAATCAGTTGTAACTATAGATACAAAATAATTTACAATATTTTTAAACTTACAATGTTTAGAACTAAGGTAGTTGGAGATTAGTGGTTCAGCACAGAGGACAACTTAAAATGCCTATTCTGCATGCATACTATTTTGTTACCTTTTACTTTTTGGAAAGTTGGTGAATTGTCTTTAATAAAGCTGATGCAGCAATTGTGTTGTTTGGAGTAGGTATTGCAAAATTTGAGTAGGCAGTTGCCACTACAGAGCTGTTCGAGGAAGAGTTGAAAACGCAGTCGGGGACTTAAAATTGTGTGTTGAAGGATTGAAGAGGAAGAGAAGCATTTTCTATGTTCTGACACAAATTTCTGACTCTGTTCCTTTTAAGAGGATCTAATTATTTTAAGTGTCTTCTGTGTGCATCGTCTTCATAAAATGTGACTTGTTACCCCATTTGATTCCCATGTCATTGCATATTATCAGATGCAAACCTTCTACTTGGCTCTTAAGCAATGAAAGAGTCACCCTATGTGCTGATGGAGGTTATTTATGAGGTTGTAGGGTAGGGTGTGTGGTTTTGTTTTTTTTTGCTTGTTTTTTTAAAGATTAAATATGTACCAACTCAGAAGCTATTGAGCTGACAGATGTCATGGAAAATGTTTTCACTTTTAGCTGGTAAATCTGAGCTTAATTCCAGAGGGATAAGACTGAAAAAAGACAGAGTGAGAAGGAATAAAGTATCCTACCCAATATCAATTAATGCATGTGATTGAGGTACATCTCTTTAGATAAGAACACACTCTCATCAGCAGTTTAGGGGCTGACAAATCCAGGTGATTTTAGCGCTTAAACAGAGAGAGAGAGAGAGAGAGGTATCATTGAAAAGATGGCAAAGCTTATTTAAGAAGACATACCCAGAGGCATTCAATCCAGCATATATTTCCTTCTCTTTTTTGTGTTTCAATGCAAGTAGTAAACAACCTGCAGAAACTAGGCAAAAGAAAGGTTCCAAATGCAGTTTTTTTTTGTATTAACGAAGCATTCTCTCTCCCTGCACCACTTCACAATCATACACCCTTATTCTTATTTTCCCCAGCCAGCACTCTCTTTCCCAGCAGTCATTTGGTCTCCTGGGGTTTTTGGATGAGACTGATTCACACCACTGAAGTCAGTAGTATTACAGTCACATCAGAACGAGAGGAACATAGGGCCCATTGATTTTAAAATTGGCAGAGAAGCAAGGATATGGGGATACTAGTGAGAAGATAATATAAGGGCTGTGGGGGATCTGCTTAGTTGGGGCTATTTTGTGTGGGTGGGTGTGCATTAGTAAAACATATTTATCTTGCATTTCAACAAGAAATGCTGAATTGTCCCAGATGTGCATGTTACACGAGTGCAAAATGATACAATCTTGATGTCGTCACTTGTACTTGCACACTGGAGTGAAATTCTGGCTACAGTACAGCCCTGTTGGGAAGTGTTGCGTACCTTGAGATTGTTCATTGTTTCAATGGTGGTTAACAGTCCTGGCTGACATGCCTCTGTGAAATCTGTTACCAGCTGAATGTAACTCTCACATGCAGGATTTACAAGATGAAGCGCTCTCATCAAACGGATTTCATTCAAGTCAGCTATCATAAGGGTTGCTAATTAGTTTTTGGAGGAAATCCTTACAGTATTCATGCAGGTATTTATCCAGCTAGGCTGTAGTGCCTACAGGTTTATTAAAATCCAGAAAACGTGAAAATTTTTTACTAGGGAAAGGACTTTTGAACTCTGCTTTTTGTAAATAAATGCCTGAAGGAGACTTGACTTGGCAATATGCAAATGCAAGACTCCTCCGAAAATATTTTCCAACCTTTTATGTTTTAGTTCCTTAAAATGTATTGTTGGATTGTGTGGATTTTATTTTTATTATTTTTTTTAGCTTTACAAGTGATTTTAAATGCAAACACTTTGAAGTAAGAAAATGGATCAAAACATTTGTCATAACCTCTCAAAAATGACTGGGTTTTTAACTAGTAGCGTTTTTCGTGCTTAGTATAATAAGTGGAAGGGAGAGTGTGAGCAAAGAATTGCACTTGTGAAAAATAGTTGTGTGGATCAGCTTGTCATTGTCTTTACTCAGTGGGAGTTTCCAATTGAAGATAATATATAAGCCATCTTTTTTTGTTTTTTTTTAGTTTCCCGACCATAATTTTCCTACCAATTACTTTCTCCATCATCCCTAGTAGGAGGTTCTGTAGCCTTCTTTCCGGTAATGGAGAACTGATAGCATGCGCTCCTGAGAGAGCATGCAGTACAAAATATGCTGAGTGTAGTGGCTGCTCCCCATAAAATACAAGAGTCTAACACTACTGCTACTCTAGCATTGTTACGCCTTCTGCTCAAGTGGTAGAGCCCCGTGTATTAGAATTGAAGGTTCTAGCTTCTATTCATGATGGTGACCTTTAGCAGGGGGTTGTTACACTTACCAATTCCTCTGGTATGAAGTTCTGTTTCAAATGCTTATGGGCAGTTAAGAATAGGCAGCCTGAAAAAGAAGTGAAGGGAGCAGAAGATGAATAAAAGGAGTACAAATTGGAAAGAGTCCAGCGGAGGGCAACAAAAATGATTAAGGGTCTGGAGCACATGACTTATGAGGAGAGGCTGAGGGAACTGGGATTGTTTAGTCTCCAGAAGAGAAGAATGGGGGGGGGGATTTGATAGCTGCTTTCAACTACCTGAAGGGGGGTTCCAAAGAGGATGGAGCTCGGCTGTTCTCAGTGGTGGCAGATGACAGAAGAAGGAGCAATGGTCTCAAGTTGCAGTGGGGGAGGTCTAGGTTGGATATTAGGAAACACTATTTCACTAGGAGGGCGGTGAAGCACTGGAATGCGTTACCTAGGGAGGTGGTGGAATCTCCTTCCTTGGAGGTTTTTAAGGCCCGACTTGACAAAGCCCTGGCTGGGATGATTTAGTTGGGAATTGGTCCTGCTTTGAGCAGGGGGTTGGACTAGATGACCTCCTGAGGTCCCTTCCAACCCCGATATTCTATTATTCTAATGGAGAGACCGATGAGAAGATCAGCTTTAATGGGGATGGGACAATCAACTGAAGGAGAAGGAAGACAGACAAACACCACTGAAGTAGGCACCTAAAAACGATAAATGTATCACTGTTTGGGGCTCATGCTTCAGAAACTCCATTCTATGAAGCCACTAAATGTTGCTGCAGTACATGAATCATTTAAGGAGAAGGGGGACTATCTGTTGGACATTACCAAGTCTTTTTCTTTTCAGGAATTATGTACATCCTTGACTGGTGCCCCGTTATCCAGGGAACCTAAAGTCAAAAAGCAAATGATTTTGGTGGTTGATCTTTATGGCCACTCTCCCCCAACTTCATCTTTACTATAGAACATGCTGCTATTAAATGTTCTGCTGATTTAATCATAGCTTGTTTTTCCACTGATGTAAAGGTGCTAGCGCGCTCTAGTAATTCAACAAATCTTTGCTGCAGAAGATGAAATAACGGTTGCCATGCTCTGCATTCTAATCTGTGCTTGTAGTTAGTCGTGCTCTTTGCACACCCTAATACAAGCCTATACATGACGGGTAATAGAGAGAGAACAGGGAGGTTGGTAGTAGCTGTATGGTTTGTGATGGCATTGGTCTGGGAGCTAAGCAGATGGGTTTGATTGTCACTTGCTGTGTGATTCCCCAGCG